GATGCCATTATGAACATAAACAACACATTTAACTAAGGTGGAGGACACAACTACACAGAGCGGTATTACTAAACCGATCATGCTACAGTTATGGAAAAATACATGATAAAGTGACTGGCTCGCTTACAGTGATGTGTATAATGTTTATAACACTACACCTGACAAATGATTTGCAGATTCTACTATAGTCATACGTCATCCTCTCGTTCCAGTAACAACCTTCTTGAGCACAAAATTAAGTTAGTCAAAGAACACTTAATTTCCATTTGCAGTATTATATTCGGCCTTATGGCTCTGTTCTGGGGCCTCTCCAGACCCTTCTCTGCCCTTCCACGTGCCTACATGGAAAGCCTAAGAGCAGCAGCAAAGACCCTCTGGGAAAAGAACTGAGCAGCATCAATGACAAACAGAAATGTCACTGATAAGTCAGACAAAACATGAAAAGGAGGAGCTGGGGTGGAGGCGGGTTGCAAAGTGGCTTAAAGAGGAAACAGCAACAGTAGGCAGACCAAAGCAGTTTAAAAAGGGCACCCTGAATGATAATTGCTAATTGGTTGCATAGAAAGGAATCATGTGATCCATCAACTGACTTCCTTCCATCAATCAGCTGGTCCATCAGTTGATTGGGCTGCTTGAGATCAGCTGATGTAGCTGGGATGTGAACTGAGCTTGATATCGTGTTCCGTCTGAACTAATGCTATGCACTATTTATTTGTCAAAAAATATTTGGCGAAGAGTGTAACTAATCAAAGTCAGGACATGACTCAGAAAAATACAAAATATAATAAAAATGCCAAAATACACTTGAAGGGGGCACTTTGTGCCAGCTGTGTATGGTATTTTATTTTAATATACTGTATATAATAATTTGCCAATATATACAGTACAGGCCAAAAGTTTGGACACACCTTCTCATTCAATGCGTTTTCTTTATTTTCATGACTATTTACATTGTAGATTCTCACTGAAGGCATCAAAACTATGAATGAACACATGTGGAGTTATGTACTTAACAAAAAAAGGTGAAATAACTGAAAACATGTTTTATATTCTAGTTTCTTCAAAATAGCCACCCTTTGCTCTGATTACTGCTTTGCACACTCTTGGCATTCTCTCCATGAGCTTCAAGAGGTAGTCACCTGAAATGGTTTTCCAACAGTCTTGAAGGAGTTCCCAGAGGTGTTTAGCACTTGTTGGCCCCTTTGCCTTCACTCTGCAGTCCAGCTCACCCCAAACCATCTCGATTGGGTTCAGGTCCGGTGACTGTGGAGGCCAGGTCATCTGCTGCAGCACTCAATCACTCTCCTTCTTGGTCAAATAGCCCTTACACAGCCTGGAGGTGTGTTTGGGGTCAATGTCCTGTTGAAAAATAAATGATCGTCCAACTAAACGCAAACCGGATGGGATGGCATGTCGCTGCAGGATGCTGTGGTAGCCATGCTGGTTCAGTGTGCCTTCAATTTTGAATAAATCCCCAACAGTGTCACCAGCAAAACACCCCCACACCATCACACCTCCTCCTCCATGCTTCACAGTGGGAACCAGGCATGTGGAATCCATCCGTTCACCTTTTCTGCGTCTCACAAAGACACGGCGGTTGGAACCAAAGATCTCAAATTTGGACTCATCAGACCAAAGCACAGATTTCCACTGGTCTAATGTCCATTCCTTGTGTTTCTTGGCCCAAACAAATCTCTTCTGCTTGTTGCCTCTCCTTAGCAGTGGTTTCCTAGCAGCCATTTGACCATGAAGGCCTGATTCACGCAGTCTCCTCTTAACAGTTGTTCTAGAGATGGGTCTGCTGCTAGAACTCTGTGTGGCATTCATCTGGTCTCTGATCTGAGCTGCTGTTAACTTGCGATTTCTGAGGCTGGTGACTCGGATGAACTTATCCTCAGAAGCAGAGGTGACTCTTGGTCTTCCTTTCCTGGGTCGGTCCTCATGTGTGCCAGTTTCGTTGTAGCGCATGATGGTTTTTGCGACTCCACTTGGGGACACATTTAAAGTTTTTGCAATTTTCCGGACTGACTGACCTTCATTTCTTAAAGTAATGATGGCCACTCGTTTTTCTTTAGTAAGCTGATTGGTTCTTGCCATAATATGAATTTTAACAGTTGTCCAATAGGGCTGTCGGCTGTGTATTAACCTGACTTCTGCACAACACAACTGATGGTCCCAACCCCATTGATAAAGCAAGAAATTCCACTAATTAACCCTGATAAGGCACACCTGTGAAGTGGAAACCATTTCAGGTGACTACCTCTTGAAGCTCATGGAGAGAATGCCAAGAGTGTGCAAAGCAGTAATCAGAGCAAAGGGTGGCTATTTTGAAGAAACTAGAATATAAAACATGTTTTCAGTTATTTCACCTTTTTTTGTTAAGTACATAACTCCACATGTGTTCATTCATAGTTTTGATGCCTTCAGTGAGAATCTACAATGTAAATAGTCATGAAAATAAAGAAAACGCATTGAATGAGAAGGTGTGTCCAAACTTTTGGCCTGTACTGTATACTGCAGAGGCTTGAGAGAGGCTCTGCCAGGAGCAAAGAACTGCCTTTTTCTTTATTTTTATCATTCATTGTATTCATTTAATTTTTATTTATTCATTGACTTTAGTCCACATTTAGAGAGTATGATAGTTTAGTGAGTGTAGAGCCCTGTGTGAAGCCAAGGTCCCTCAATCTAAAATAGGTAACACTTCTCCTGAGCAGTGCAATGAAAAGATGTGTATGGAAATAAGAATCTTCCTTCTCTTTAGCTAGTCCTGTCACTGAAATGAGGGGAGACAACTGGCAAGAGGCTGCGCAGGGCTACATAACTGCCACAGCAGGTGACTAGCTCTCTCCCTCTGCTCCTGAAAGTTATCCTCCCACCCCAACAACTCTGTCTTAATCCTCTCATTCCTTCTGTTTTTATCCTCCTCCCTTAATTCCCTCAGGTTCCCTCTCTCTCTCTGCCACCTCCGCCTCCATCCATCCGTCTTTTTGACCCTGGAGTCAGCGAAGTGAGTTGAGAGGGGAGAGCATGAGAGGAAGTTGACTAAAAATGGTAAAAAATCAAAGGGAGACACTTCAGTAAGGTTAAAGTGGGTGACCCCTTCTCTCCTCCCCTCCCCTCCTCTGCACACTGAATCCCAATAAAGTCAGTGTAAACACAGTGGGACTGTGGGCTTAGCTGAACTGAACAGTGCCCACACACAAACTTTTTCACACAGAAAAAGAGAGCTCTCTCTCTCTCAAACTGCTGAATTCTTCGGTCTCCTCAATAATATATATGTACATAAATCAATAAATCAGCTACAGCACAACCCCTGCGGTTCCAAAAAAAATCTATTTATCCATTTCAACTTTTACACAGCCTCCTTTTCCCTTTCAACTTTGATTTTTGATTGGCACCTTTCAGATAGTTTGTGTCCAGCACCATCTTGTCTAAGCACAAGGACTGGGAGACATACAAGCACATAGTGGACCCTGCCCAGACACTAGGATTCCCTGGAAAAGGAAGGAAGGAACCTTCCTGTGACAGCCCACTGAGCGGATGGTTACAGACATCAATTGAAAGCAAACAAGGAGAGAAAAGATAAAAACAACAGAGTCCGTCTGCTGTGTTTGGATAACCAAAATGTCAAGCTGCTCGGGTACTGGGAGGGTGGCGAGCAGCTTCCTCTGGGCCAAGGTGCTCTGGAGAAGTCAGAATAACAGGGAGTGCGTGTGTGTGTTCATGTGTATTGGTGGGGAGTATGAGGGCATGTGGGTGTAAGTTTGTCTATTTGTGACACATACAATGGAGCAAGACCACACTGTCCTTCTGGTATTTGGGATTTCCAGATTCAAAATAGGCCCCACTGTGGGAGGAGGGCAGGAACAAACAGCAGACAGGGGGGGAGAAAAAGAAGAGGTTAGAAGGGAAGGAGAATGGGGACAGCACATAATGTGTATTCACAGCAGCTAAGGAAGAATTTTGCTTGTCATTTTCATGTTCAGTCTGCCCACCTGTCAGCGAGCATGGGGAAGTTTCAGTGGTTAACTGAAATGGGAGGTGTTTGGTATGACAGATGGAAATTGGCCAAGTCTGTTTAAGTGCCATTGTTAACACATACAATTACAGTGTATAGGAGGGAAAGTGAGACTGCTAGCATACAAACTTATAAGGAGACATAAACAAATAAACCCCAAAACACCTTTTTACATATCATGCAGGAACTGAGGAACTCACTGGAACATTAAATACAAAGTCATACTGTGAAGCCAAACACTGATTAAACATGTATTTAAAACTCTTGTGGTAATCCATAAGTTTACAAAGATATCAAATATAAGGAGATGTGTATAAATGATGCACAAGACATGACACATTTTGTCATAAGTGTAAGATGTTCAACAAAAGGCACAGGAGATGCAGAATAACATATTAAACTGGAAGTGTAAGGGTCCAATAAAAAGATTAATATCTTTACAAGGAATGTGTTTTACACTTAATTTCAAAATGTGACAACAGAAACAACCTCAAAAGTGTCATTGTTAGAAAAGGTGTTTAAATTGAGCTTTTGATGTACTGAGAATTACAATTACTGACCAATAGATGATCAATTCTACCAAGTAACTTTTCTCAAAGTTCTCAAATGTGATGAGATTTAATGGAGGGAAGAGAGTCGTGTAGCTGGATGAAAAGTCCTGTCATAGTGGAGAAGATCTGCCTAATGTTCTATGTGGAAAACACTTGTACTGTTTTAAACGAGGGTAACAGTAAGCAAATATAAGAGGCTTCCCAGCAGTTGGAGCATAACTGAGCAGTGTGTCAGCCGCTGTCTGAGTCACCTGTTGCGCCTGGATGTTTTCGGCTCTGCGTAACGTGCAGGAACGTTTCCCATGCTCATTACAACAACAGGCTCCAAGTTTGGTTCAGATACAGAGAGAGTGACATTAGTGAGCAGTGTAGTGAGCTCACAGCGATGAACAAACAGAGCGTTGTCAAAGTTTAGGATATGCATAACTCACCAGCAGTCCCGGGCTCCAGCAGCAGCACAGGAAGGAAAAGGAAAGATAAAGTTCCCCGTAAAAATAAAGACCGGCGCTGTCCATCCATGTTTCTCTGTCCTCTCCTCTCACATTGACGGTAAAGTAAACGACAGTCCAACGGAGAAATGAGTTGGACGCGTCCGCTGTGCTGTGTGCTCCACTCCGCTCAGCAGCTGGAGACTCACTGCTCAGCTATCCAAACGCACGCACTGTATAGGCTACACACGCGCGCGCGCTACTCTGACAGGAAACCAAAGGAGGGAGGGAGGGAGGACTCACTCTCTCTTTTTCAGTGTGTGTGTGTGTGTGTGTGTGTGTGTGTGTGTGTGATTAGTACATATCCAAATATTAGAAATTGGACAATTAACCAGCTCTGTATACCCAGCGACATTTTTTCAGTTGGAAAGAAACGTCTATGGTCAACAGTGAAGATGTTCAAAGGTTCAAAAGTGGAAGTTTTTTCACGACTATTTAAGGTTGATAACACGTTCACATTTAGACCATATTTCACCGTTTGCAATAGAGATTTTTCATTCTCTGCAGTGTGCAAATAATGGTCTATTGTCATTTTGGAGCCTAACTAAGAAATCACATCCACATTGTTACTGACCCTTTAAGGAATGAGCAGAGACACAGCAGGAAAATTTGAGAAACCAGAGGTATTTATTTTAATGTTTAAGCTGAGTACACACAACTTCTGTCAGAATCCCTGTGACTGTTTATTTTGTGCAAGGCATTGAGTTCTGAAATGCAAAATATAGATGCTTTGCCCTGCCTTTTCCAGACTGACCTAATTCTAAACCCTGTAAACACACTTACTCCTACAAAAACTGTATTATATTCCTGAATACTTTTTTTTAACTATGTCATCTAATTGTTTTGTTTTGCTCACCTTTTTCTAATAATTTCAATGCCTAATGTTTTCATTTCTTATGGATGAGACAGCACCAATAAAGCAGCACAACATGAACTGCAGAGGCACTAAGGCGCGCGCTGCAGATGGATGGCAGTAGCTGCTGGGTCCTTACTTTACAAGTAACCTATCTTGAAGCTATTAATATGTGAGGTGCATAATTATGTACAGTGTTTGTCTGGAGTGGTGCTTTTTTTTCTTTCAGTTTTCAGATGAATACCTAAAATATGAATCAATCCTTGATGTGAAGACTGATACTGCATCTGCGACAAACCAGGTGTCACTGTTGGTCGCTTGGACAGTGACTTCCAGTGTCAGACACCGATGAAAGACGTCAGCATGATATGTTATTGTTTAATGACGCCTGGCGGTGTCAGGGGGAAATGAAGGGGGACAACAATGAAAGTAAAGGTGGTAGTAGTCCTTGTAGGGCCGGTGGGAGGGGTGGTGTATGGTTCCAGCATCCACTGACTTTCCCCCAGGAGGCCAGTGTTTGCTTCCCATAAGATTGTAAAGCCAAACCCAGTTATTTTTTTTCTAAACACAACCATGTGTGTGTGTTGGGTAAACGTAACCACGTGCACTTGTTGTTGAAGCAAAAAAAAAAAAAAAAGGAAATTTGCTGTGTTGAACCATGTGGTGCATTTATTTTGAAAGAGACTGTATGCAAACTCTACATTTCCTGTGAAAAAGGAAGTGTATTTTGAAAACAGACAGTGCTTGTAACAGGCTGAAGATGACACAGAGTCCAAAAACATCAACAACCAACGCACCCAGGGTACCTTGCACGTCATATTCCAATGTGAAAAGTCTGACCTAATGTCAATATGTGACAAGGTCAGAGTGAGAATGTGTGGTCTGTGAAGGCTGCCAGTCTACAAACTGCGTGCAAGCTCACTGAAAATAGTGGCAGGTCCCCAATCTCACAGGATATTTCAACACTGTTTATGCTTTTTATATTTTTTGTTACTGTAGATAAGGTGTAATGGACTTACTAAGTCATTTATTTTTCAAGCAGGCAATGTTGAAGACTACTGCGTAACCTCAAACATGTTTCACTCTGACACAGAAAGTAAAATTGTCATGGTATGAACATAGATTCTGAACATTCACAGAAATAACAATATTTATTTGTGTTTAATAGAGGATAGTATGGGTTTCCAGTACTTAATTCTAAATCAACTAGAAAAGCACTCGGAGAGGGCAGACCTCCACCAAGCAGCTCGGATTTCCTGCCATTTTATTATTTTATCCACTTCACTTCAACCGATCACCACCAAAATTTTATCATCTGTTCCTTGTCCCATTATCAACCTTTCAGTTCAGAACTTTTGGAGTTATTTTGCAGACAAACAAACAAACAAACAGACAAACAGACCAACACCGGCGAAAACATAACCTCCTTGGCGGAGGTAATTACACTGTTGCACGTAATGTGTCTCACATGAGAGACACATGAGGTTGATTATATAAAACATTTTAAATAACTACTGTCTTCTCTTGAGAAGGAGGAGTTTGTTAGGAATGTTCTGGAGGTGAAAAGAATGTCAGATAGGTTGATGAGTCTGAAGCTAGAAATTGAAGGTGGGATTTTCATTGTTATTAGTGGTTATGCCCCACAGGTAGGATGTGAGTTAGAAGACAAGGAAAAGTTCTGGAGTGAGTTAGATGAAGTGATACAGGATATCCCTGGAGGTGAGTGAGTGGTGATTGGTGCAGACTTCAATGGACTTGTTGGGGCAGGGAACAGAGGTGATGAGGAAGTGATTGGCAGGTTTGGTATCCAGAATAGGAACGCAGATGGACAGATGGTGGTGGACTTTGCAAAAAGGATGGAAATTACTGTAGTGAATACTTTCTTCCAGAAGAGGCAGGAACATAGGATGACTTATAAGAGCGGAGGGAGGAGCACACAGGTGGACTACATCTTGTGTAGAAGATGTAATCTGAAGGAGATCAGTGACTGCAAAGTCGCGGTAGGTGAGCGTGTAGCCAGACTGCATAGGATTGTGGTGTGAAGGATGACTCTGGTGGTGAGGAAGATGAAGAGGACAAAGGCAGAACAGAGGATGAAATGGTGGAAGCTGAAAAGGGAAGGGGGTGTGTGGTTTTCAGGGAGGAGTGGAGACAGGCTCTGGGTGGCAAGGAGGTGTTCCCAAATGACTGGACAACGACAGCTAATGTTATCAGAGAGACAGGTAAGAGAGCACTTGGTGTGTCATCTGGAAGGAAAGGAGATAAGGAGACCTGGTGGTGGAATGAGGAAGTGCGGGAGTGTATACAGAGAAAGATGTTAGCTAAGAAGAAGTGGGACACTGAGAGGAATGAAGATAGTAGACAGGAGTACAGGGATATTCAGCATAAGGTGAAGGTAAAGGTGGCAAAGGCCAAACAAAGGGCATACGATGACTTGTATAATAGGTTGGACAGTAAGGAGGGAGAGACTGATTTACACAGGTTGGCAAGGCAGAGAGATAGAGGAGATGGGAAGGTTAGGTTAGGGTGATTAAGGATAGAGATGGGAATGTATTGACAGGTGCCACAAGTGTGATGGGAAGATGGAAAGAGTACTTTGAAGAGTTGATGAATGAGGAAAATGAGAGAGAACAAAGAGTAGAAGAGGTGACCATTGTGGAGCAGGAAGTAGCAAAGATTAGTAAGGATGAAGTGAGGAGGGCAATGAAGAGGAGGAAGAGTGGAAAGGCAGTTGGTCGTGATGATATACCTGTGGAGGTATGGAAGTGTCTAGGAGAGGTGGCAGTAGAGTTTTTGATTAGGTTCTTCAACAAGGTCTTAGAGAGTGAGAGGATGCCTAAGGAATGGAGGAGAAGTGTACTGGTGGCGATTTTCAATAACAAGGGAGACGTGCAGAGTTGTGGCAACTACAGGGGGATAAAGTTGATGAGCAATACAATGAAGCTATGGGACAGAGCAGTGGAAGCTAGACTAAGAGCAGAAGTGATTATCTGTGAGCAGCAATATGGATTCATGCCAAGAAAAAGTACTACAGACGCAGTTTTTCCTTTGAGGATGTTGGTGTGATAGAAGAGTACCAGAAAGATTAAAAGGAAAGGTGTATGAGACGGTGGTGAGACCAGCGATGTTGTTTGGTTTAGAGACAGTGGCACTGAGGAAAAGACAGGAGGCAGAGCTGGAGGTAGCATAGATGAAGATGTTGAGGTTCTCTTTGGGAGTGACGAGGATGGATAGGATCAGGAATGAGTACATCAGAGGGAAAGCTCATGTTAGATGTTTTGGAGATAAAGTCAGAGAGGCCAGACTGAAATGGTTTGGACATGTTCAGAGGAGGGATAGTGAATATATCGGTAAAAGGATGCTGAGGTTGGAACTCCCAGACAAGAGGCCTAGAGGAAGACCACAGAGGAGATTTATGGATGTAGTGAAAGAGGACATGAAGTCAGTTGGTGTGAGAAAAGAGGATGCAGAGGATAGGGTTCGATAGAAGCAGATGATTCGCTGTAGAGACCCCTAAAGGGAACAGCCGAAAGAAGAAGAAGAAAACTGTCTTCATCTGAGAAATGTCTAAGCAGTATTATTCTCCTCAGGTGCTGTGTGACATTTCTCTCAGATGGGCACATATGGACTGCCTGGAATCTGTCCCTGTGAATCTAAAAGACAATTATCATTACTTGAAATGCAAATAAAAGCAAAAAATGTTACACTTCCCTGAGGGAAAAATGTTTCTTTGAAAGACATGTTGGGGTGTAACAGTTCACAAAACTCATGGTTTGGTTTGATATGATACAGGAGTGTCATGGTATGGTATGTTTTAGATACAGCAAAAAAGTAGAAATGCCAGAGAAATTACCTTCAGACAATCTTTAATTTTTACCATCATAGTCCATCCATCCATCCATTTTCATCCGCTTATCCAGGGCTGTATCACGGGGGCAGCAGGCTGAGCAAAGCACCCCAGACATCCCTCTCCCCAGCAACACTTTCCAGCTCCCTCTGGGGGACCCCAAGGCATTCCCAGGCCAGATGAGATATGCAATCCCTCCAGCATGTTCTGGGTCTACCCCAAGGCCTTCTACCAGTGGGACGTTCCTGAGACACCTCCAGCGGGAGGCTCCAGGAGGCATCCTGGTCAGATGCCCGAACCACCTCAACTGACTCCTTCCGACGCGAAGGAGCGGCGGTTCTACTCCGAGCACCCTCCGGATGTCCGAGCTCCTCACCCTATCTAATGCTGAGCGCAGCCGCCCCACGGAGGAAACTCATTTCCGCCGCTTGTATCCGCGATGTCATTCTTTCGGTCACTGC